GCGCTTCATATGCGGAGGAACTAGATACGAGTCCGAGTCCCAACTCTTCTGCTACGGTCAAAGCAGTCGCGTAGTCGGTGACTAAGCCTCGAGCTGAGCCGGGCGCATAGTCGACTGCCGCAACATGGGCCACGAATGGGTTTGCCACAGAGTACAGCAGAGAGAGCTGGTCGAGGGAGGCGCGCAGACTGTGCAAGCTTGAAGATGAAGCCAACAGAGATTGAGGAATATGTCTCTTGGTCAGATCGAAATCCTTAGAGAACATATAACCCAATGCGATTAAGCCCGCACCAGACCGAGTCTGCATGGGAGCGACTTGTGTAGTGTAGCCATTGGCGTTCGAAGCGTTCGCCGCAGCCCATTCCTTGACAGCAACATCCAAATCGAAGGACTCGGGGGAGTATGAGAAGATCTTGTCAGAGAGAGCGTATGCGACCTGTTGAATCAGGGCTTGGGCGGTGAGGTATGTTGGCCCGCTGATCGAGGAATAGTCAATTGACTGGCCGAAAGGCAAACTCGAGGATTTTTGAGGGAACTTCCGAAACGAGGAAGAGTCGGCGCCGGAATTCCAAGTGCTGGCGAGCACTTCGCCGCCCTTGGGAGCCTGCATTTTGTGAGCTTTGGGTAGTTGTGATTGTGAGGTGTAGAAATTTTACCTGGGATTTTGATGGATAGTCAACTCCATGATCCGCTTTTCGCTTTAGATTGTTAGTGTCCAAGTCCATCGGGTCCCCCATGTTTCAAGACGGTTAGGTCTCCTGGCTCTGCAGGGAACGTGCAGAAAGAATGGAGTAAAGAAAGTAAAATGTTAATTAGAAATCTTCAAGTCAGATCGACTTGAATTGAGTGAAGATTGAAACGTAAAGGGAATCCTGGAGACTGGAATGCGGCAAAACTCATCCCCCTCTCCCTCCTGTCGTCCAAAGGTGGAACTTAGCCTGAACTTCTCTAGCTCTGATCGCGACATTTCGAGGCTCAAAGAAAGTGAATATTAGTCAGGATGGCTCTATGGCTGTGCTAGAGCGTGGCTAGATGCTTGTAAGATGGGATGGGATGAAGTCGAAAGTCGTTGCACGAGATAGCACGCAATTTCATCCCTGCGAAAAAGTTCTTTAGCTTTGTGTTCTCGGGCCGGTCTCGGGGATAGTTCGTTGTAAATTTGATTGGCTTACCGGCCTTGGGCTGCTTTGCTCTGATTTGCCGCATTCAACTTCAGCAAGGTTAGTGGTCTTCGGATCTAATGCAAGGCTGACGCTGCTCACCACTAGATATGCACAAGGGAAGAGCTTTGGAATCTTGAATAGAACCTTCTGATAGATTGTTCGAAGATTGTCTAAATTGAGTTTGTCGTAGACCTGAATGGCAGGAATGCGTAGTCCGGTTGCAATACTCATCCTATCGGGGCGATTACTGAACATCTTCAGTGGGATACAGGCCTCTATAGGCTTCATATGCCTCGGTATGGACGGTCAAGGCCATGGCTATGCTGCAAATTCAGACAGTAAGCAAGTTTTTCGGACATCATTCATCTGCATCGCTGTTAAGAAATGGAAGGTATCGAATGATGAGGCAAGCAATTGATCTCCTGATAAAGCTTCTATCTTAAGTCCGAAGCGGCGGAACATGTCATAGGCGTCAGTAGGGACGCAAGCGAAGCATGGTCCAAACATATCATACAAAACAATACATAATCTTTACATCCAGACCACAATAATCCACTACATTACAACACACAATCGAAACCTAATTCACACCTGCAACAATGACATCCGCAGCAATCGTCGGATCAACCGGCCTCGTCGTACGTTGCACCCATCCTCAATCTTCGTCCCTTCCACAATCATTCACATCAACTAACAATCGTCCAGGGCTCACACATCCTCTCAACTCTCCTCTCCCTCCCCTCCATCTCCGCTGTTCATTCGATCTCCCGCCGCGCCCCCTCCTCCATCGACCCCAAGCTCCATCCTCTCGTCGGAACAGACACCTCACAATGGCCTACCCAACTCTCCACCATCCACCCCATCCCCTCAATCCTCTTCTCCGCCCTCGGCACCACCAAAGGCCTAGCCGGCTCGGTCGAGGCCCAACGAAAAATAGACTATGACCTCAACCTCGCCCTTGCCGAAGCCGGCAAATCCTCCGGCGTGAAAGTTTATGTCCTGATATCAACTGGAGGAGCGAACGCGAAGAGCTCCATTCCGTATCCGAAGATGAAGGGAGAGTTAGAGGATAGTGTTAGGGGGTTGGGATTTGAGACTACAGTTATTTTGAGGCCCGGGTTGTTGGTGGGGGAGAGGAGTGATACGAGGATGGCGGAGGCGGTTTTTAGGGGGTTGGCGAATGTTATGGGGCATGTTGGGTTGAAGGATTTTTGGGCGCAGGATGCGGATGTAGTTGCCAAGGCGGCTATTGCTGCTGGGCTACAAGCACTCGAGGGAGGGAAGCCGAAGGTGTGGGAGATTGGTCAAGCTGAGATTATTAAGTTGGGGAGGACGGAGTGGAAGGCTTGAGCTTGGTGTGCCATTTGCTTGATGATCTTTGGCGGGAGTTTGGAGGGTTTGAGATGTAATGAATAAGGTTGAGGTCTTTTATGTTTTGTTATGTATACCCAGAACTCCAACTATGCTTGTACTTTCAACTGCCAATTCCTCAGATATCATCTTCACTTCCTAGCTTTCTTAGGACTTCCTCCACCACTAGACTTATTCTTCTCCGCGTTCTCAGCTCTTCCTTCGGTCTCTCTTGGTTTCGACACTTCAGGGTTCGCGGGCGATACGTCTAATGGATTTCCTGATCCCTGAAAATATTTCAGCATATGTCCAGCTCCGTTGTAGGTTGTCATACCTCTTCTTCCCCAGCAACTTTCTTCTCCTTTTGAGGATCTGTAGTGTTAGGATCGAACGCAGCTTGCTCTTGTCTTGCCGATGTATCGTCTGTGCCTGATTTTGAATATTCGGTTGCCTCAGTGTTGATGCTATCCTTGTCCTCGCTACCTTTTCGGGGGAAACTCGCTAGTGATGTGCGGGAGAAGGGACGAATTGTTTGGACGGAGTGTCTAATTGATCGAGAAGGGCCAGCTCGAATGCATCGCCTCGTCCCAAGACGGAGAACGGAAGTCGGTGACATTTGGCAAGGTGATCGTGAGGTAGATGTTGGTGACTGCCTCGGCTATTAGTTATGAGTGCTCGAGATTGACTTCGACTTCCACCTCGCTCATATGTATATAGGGTATAAATTTTCGGTATAATGCGAACACTAAAACAACTTACCAAAATATAATTGTTCAAAAATGCGAGAGACAATGAAGCTCCAAACTGGAAGCTCAGAGCTCCAATATCAACATCGCTTAACTCGGCTACGTCACTATTGGCCAGTGCCCGAAGCACGCCAACTCCCCCACATTTGACGGCCAATCCCCTGAACCTCCTGCAACCCGCTCCAGATCCCACTGAATGGGAAGCGAGCGGGGAACGTGCTCTATCCGGAGCGAGCCTCGTGCAGATCCAACGCACTTCATCCTTCCCAATCAGCATCTCTGCTTTTCCAACAACCAAAATTAGCCCCTATATACTCTCCAACACTGGTTCCAAATGAACCGAATATTTGGGGATAACCGCTGTTGACTTATCAGTACGCAGTTTTTGTGCTACCACGCAAGGTTGAAGGCCTATCTTTGCATTTTGACTTTCGAGAGACGGGCGTAGTCAGCCCACAATAGTTCTAGCCCACGGCGTAGTGTGGTCTCATGGACACCATTTCGTTCGTTCGTCTGCCTGCTATTCATTGTCTTATATCCAGCATATTTCTCCTTGCACATTTTCCTCCCGGAGAAGCAAGTCCTTCTACTATACTATCTGAGACTGCTTTCAAAGTCGCATTTTTCCTGCAATGGAGTTATTCCACAATCATTCTCTTGAATCTGAACCCCAAGGAGTGCCATCTATGGATTCATTCACCCTCTTCCCCAACCTCCTTCCCGAACTCCGCATCCTAATCTGGCAATACGCTCTCCTGCATCCCCGTCTCGTCTTGATCTACAAACACTCCACCCGAATAACCACTATATCCCCACACATCCGCCGCACAGTCACCACTCCACTCCTCTCCACCTCTCAAGAATCACGTCTCGAAGCTCTGAAATACTATTTCCCTCCCTCCCTCGGCCTCCTCCAACCACAACCCTCGTCAAATACATCGACACTCTTTCCCACATTTCTCACTCCTCCAAACCTCAATGACAGAAGCCAGAAGCCCTTCCCTGTTGGTCCAGGAACAGATATAATCTATATCTCAGGCAACGATCCATCACCTCCTAGGCGCAGAACACCAGTCACATGGACAGTGTCCTTCCTGTCTTCCGAGCTTGATTCTGCTTCCCCAAGCTTCAGTCCAATCAAACATCTCGCTATCGATTTAGCTCTCTTGTTATCTACCTCTTATAGCAAGACGCCGAAGTTTAAGATGCCGCACGGGATATGGAAATTCATCATCCTAGATCTCAAAAAACTAGAATCTTTGATTATGGTGAGGAGTTGTGGATGCGAGGAAGAACATTGGGGGGTGAAGGATGTGGAAGGATCGCTGATGGCGGCGAAGAACCAGTTTATGGAGTTTTGGGAACAGATGATGGGGTATGGTGGGGATGATTCTATTGGGGAAGGGAAAGACGATGAAGAAGAGGGGAGTCCAGGCGAGGAGGTGAAGAGATTGAAAGAATGGAGGATGCCTAGGGTGGAGGTGCTGGAGTTGGAGGAGCTGGTTGCTAGGTGTTGGGTATGAGGTGTGAGGAGGATGTCTGTTCTTTTGTGAGGATTTTGTCAAATCTCTATACTGGGAATCTACCCTACTTTGACTGCTCTACTTCACCTTCCCTTTCAAAATATGACATTCATCCAAACACTCACTCGCCAGGCTCTTTCCCCCCGAGGACTTCCCCCCAAAATTAGAAGAAGACGACGAAGAACCTCAGCAACGAAAAGTGTAAAAAAGAGAGTTATTGAAAGCGGTTGGAATCGAACCAATGACCCACGATCCGAAAATGGCTCCCATCGCCTTCTCCCGACACATGACAATTAAGCCTGGGACTTGGGGTTAGTTTGGTGAACTATTACTTTTCGTGAGCTTTGCCACTAAGCTACATCTCCTTTGTTATGATTTGGGACCAAAAATAGCTTATATGAATCTATACATACCACATCATACATATTGAACAGCAGAGAAAGGAAAGAGAGGAACGACTCAACGCCTCCTTCAGAGGATCGGTCTAAAGGGCAACAATCAAAAGGGAAAGTACTGGGCAACTCGCTATACAAATAACAACATCGCTCTCGCGTTACAAGAGTGGATGTTCAGGTGCTCAAAATTCATCGTTTGCTCTAATATCAAGACGTTGGCCACGTAAACATACACGATCCCTGCCTGCCGCATCTATCCATAAACACCATACTCCAACAAAGATATAATCCTCTCGTCTACTCGATAAACTCTACATAACCAACGCCCCATCCAATATCAAACTCACCACCGTCTCCCATAAACATTATCCTCCTTCGCCTTCTCACTCCCAACCCTCATCGGCGGTGGCGTAACCTTCCTCACATTACTAACACTAGCCTCCCTACTACTCGATCCACTACCCGTAGACGCCTCTTTCAAGATTCTTGGCTTCTTGCCTAAATCATACGACGCCGTACCAGGAGGAGCATGCTCTGCATCTCTACGGAACAGTTGCAGAATCTCCTTCATGCCAAGCTTACCAGCACCTCCCTTACCACCTTCTATAGTCTGGTTGGCTAATTCGCGCTTCTTTTCCTGGAGGTCGAGGATACGTTCTTCGACCGAGTCTTTGATGGTGATTTTGTAGACTATGACGTCGATTTTTTGGGTGAGACGGTGGACTCTGTCGATGGCTTGTTCTTCGACGAACTGGGGTTTGTTAGTGGGGTCAGGTAATGGGTAGAAAGGGAGATACTTACAGGGTTCCAGAATGGTTCAAGAATAACGACTCGAGTGGCAGCGGTCAAGTTCAGACCCAAAGAGCCGCACTTCAGACTGCATAGTAGGATTCGGCAATTCTTGTCGGTGCGGAGCTTATTCAAGCTGGCTTCTCGGAGGTCGTTCTTCATCTTTCCGTCGTATCTGGTGTACTTGAATCCCTTCTGACGAAGAAAAGGCTCGACAAGATCCAACATAGAGGTGAACTGAGAGAAAACGATGAACTTGTGCTGGGCGGCTTCTTTCCCAAGGATCTCCATTAAATGTCTGATCTTCGTAGATGAAATCATGGTAGATAGCTTCGCGTCTTCGTCGGAGCCGGACTCGAACTCATCTTCGACAGCTGAATCCTCGTCATCTTCATCGCTGCTTCCATCTTCTTCAGATGCAGACTCTACCTCGTCTGAGTCGGGATTAAGAGCAGTGACCTTCTTCTTTTCAAGCCTTGACTTATGCAGATGGATATGCTCGAGATCAGGCAGCGTGGTCTCATCGTCCGAATTGAGCCACTCCCCACCACCTTCTGCATCCTCATCGTCAGTGCCACCAGCCTTTCCTAGCGTCAACGAACCTCTCTTGTCTTCTGGAACGAGCCAAGCTCCTTCCTGATCTTCCTCTTCGTCATCACTGTCTTGGATAATAGCTCGATTTCTAGGCTTGCGAGGGACCTGCGACCCCTTCTCCTGTTTTCGCTTCTTCTTTTTCTCCTTCTTGTCCTTTCGAGTCTTGGGGGCATTCGTGACAGCTTCGAGATCAGCATCACAATCCAAACAACGAACTGCACCATCAGCAACGGCTTGCTTGCCCAAGTCAAGCTGGCAAACCTCGCATTTCTTAGCACCCATGCCCATGGCGCCGAACATGTCTGCCATCTCGTCAATCTCTGCATTCGACGACTTTGCCTTCTGGGTTGCGGTTGAGTCGGCAAGTGCTTCGCTATCCTTTGCAAGCTGACCACCAACAAGCTTTGGGTGATTGCAGGCCTGTCTGAGACGCAACAACATGACCAAGGCACTTGCATAATTGACCTTGCCGCTCATCATCTGCTCGATGCTTGCATCGGTACGCTGTTCCAGGCGATCGTAGAATCCACGTTCTTCGGGAGAAAACTCTGCAAAGACTTTCTCAATCTTGCGCTCAGTAATCTTGAAGCCGGTTGTGCTGCCCTCTCCTGGTAACGATGGCTTACCACCAGGATTCAACGCGCCTTCCTTCTTTAGGATGTCCTTAGTCCTACGCTTCATGAAGATCGTTAAGTAATGGCGCAATCGCTTGATAGCAAGATCACCTCTGCCATTCTTCATCGGGCGATCGATTTGATCCTTCCATTCTCTCAAATCATTGTAAGGCGTGATCCGCAAGAACTTGATAAGACTTTGCAACTCGTCGAGGTTGTTCTGCATGGGCGTGCCAGTCAAACACCACCTATACTGACTTCGCAGTGCACAGCAAGCCAAGGAAGCCTTTGCATTGCGATTCTTAATGGTATGAGCCTCGTCGAGAATGACACGGTACCAATGTAGGCCGAAACATCCCACTTTGAGGCCGTCGTCGTTGGGTGAAGAATTACCAAACTCAGAAACCAAGATTTGATATGTTGTGACCACGACGTCGTACTTCTTGAGGTCCTGGAAGCGCTTCGTGCGCTGAGGTCCGTGGTGCACACAGACTCGAAGTGCGTGAGAACTCGAAACCTTCTCCTTGATCTCCAGCTCCCATTGTCGAATGAGTGCTAGAGGAGCAACGACCAAGGTTGTCTTTTCCAAACCAGAAGGTAATTTGCGCTTGGTGATAACATCGTCGTCTGTTGGCTTAGCGTTGGTCAAGATGAGAGAAATCGACTGGAGAGTCTTGCCGAGTCCCATATCATCTGCGAGAATTCCACCCTTCGGCACTTGAGCACCTTTCTTACCTGTTCCGAGTTCTCTGCCTGTCATCCACTCAAGACCCTCCACTTGGTGGGGCAACAGCTTGACCTTGATTCCTTCAACGGTTCCGTCATCTTCCTCCTCCTCTTCATTATCAGAGGCTACTGCCAGCTTATCCTCTTCCTCGTCGTCCTCGTCGACACTAAACTTCTTGAATTTCTTGGCCAAGTCATCGGCCTCGGCTTCCTTCTTCTTCTTACGGAGTCTGGTTCTGGGTACATCGTCGTCGTCCTCAATGACTCCTTCTAAGAGAGCTTTGAGATCCTCTTGTGCCTTGGCAGGGTCTACGAACGTGTAAGGGTCTTCAACAGGGTCGCGGTAGTTGTTCGCGGTGAGGTCAACATAATCGTAGCCCTTGTAGCTAGAGGCACTATTGGTAGTTTGAAATCCACCATATGTGCTGCCCATCGACCCAAACATTTGTGGTGCCGCGGCCGTAGTTGTGGTATATGTCGGAGCTTGTGGGGCAGGAGCTCTGACTGGCTGGCTATGTAGAGGTTTAGTGAGAGTATGTGATCAAGTGTTGTGATTACTTACCTATACTCTGCAGGTGCTCTGGGCATCAATGGTTGCACTATCTTTCGGGTGGTGTCCTTTAGAGCTTGTAGGTTGGGATGAGCTATTGTGATCATATTAGCAGACTTGTACTTGAAATCTAGAATAGATCACTAACCTGGGCGGTCCGAATCTCTATGAAGTTCCGGGCGAGTCTTAGGCTGAATGAACATGGAATTCTGCTTCGATGAACCTAATGAACCTCTGTTGAGTGGTGATTGAGGTAGACTTGTCTGTCCGAATTGTGGTACACTCGAAGGAAGTAGACTCGAAGCAAACAAGTTTGCTTGAGTTGTAGGTTTGGAAGAAGCATCAGGCTGGCTTTGGTGCTGCTCATTCGGAACTACAGGTCGCAATGGCGCCTTGGCCGGTGATCGTTCGTTGACCATCTTGCTGTTCCTATTGTGGTCCTTCTGCTGGTGCGCAACCGAAGAAATACCAAACACAAAAGGAATCGGTGAGTTGGTGTTCGCAGGCTTGACTGACTTGCCGAAGTCGAAGGATAGAGGGGAGTTGAACAGGGAACTCGAGTCACCGAGGTCACTGAGCGCTATGTTATTTGCAGCAGTTGGTTCGGAAGGTGTGCGACGGGTTGGAAGGTCTAGCGGACTCTGATTTGCACTCGTAGGAGTCTCTCCAAAGATAAAATATATCGGAGAGTTGTTCCCACATCCGAAGTCGAAGGATAGCGGGGACTTCTGCGCTGTTTCCCCCAGTTAGATTGGACGACTTTGTTGATATCTGACGGGCTGAATGCAATGGCGTACTATAGTTGGTGCTGGCAGATGTCCCAATCTGCTGCGTGCGTTGTTTTTCTGGAGATTCGTCTCTGCGCTGGCTGAAGCTTGGGCGGTCTGTCAATGTGTTTTTTGGATAAAACGAGCCTCTGCGGCATTGTTAGCTGCATTGTTTCCGCTCGAGGATTTGAGTGTATACCTCATGAGTATGTCTGCTGTTTCTGAGGTTAGTTGCGACGAGATCTTGTCGTGTTGGAGGGTGGGAAGAAAGTACCTAGGGCGATTATAGTACTTGAGTTCAGATGATCGCGACGAGCGCGGTCAACAAGCGCGAATCGTCCAGGCAACGCCCAAGACCACTTCCACGAAACTTGCTAGGGTACTGCGAAAGGCCATGGGGGTTTGACTATTGCGACATGGCTGGAATATTTTGTACTCAGAGCGTTATCTCGTCTATGAATAGTTCCGTTGAAGTCTCCCTTTTTGTCTACACTTTTTCAACATCATGCCTCTAGATATCCTCATGATGAATGGACATTTTGAAGAATATTAAAGAGCAGCCAGAAGCTTTCATTTGATGGGTATCTCCAACTCCTAAAATGTAGTACATGCGCCTCAGAAAATGCCATCATCTCCATTATCGTACACTCATAAACATATTTCATTTGTCCCTTGTATGGTTTCGAACACTGTCTCCATCAAGACCGAGAGGACTTGCTCTTCTCTCGCTGAAGTTTCTTGCCCGCTTTCGTCTCGAAGAGACTCTTTACTCGTCTCAACCTCGCCCACCTTTTCTTATCCTCTTCATCCCTAATACTCATTGCATCGTCATCTCCAACATCAGTCCCAATCCCACTATCTTTCTCGCCACTATCATCCGGAGCAACTGGCCTGATCTTTCCGACCGGACTCTCCCGTCTAGACCTCAAG